AAAGAAAAAGGAGAGGTGGGGGGGGGGGGGTGGTGCCTGGTTCTGCCCCATGAAGCCTCGCTGGCTCCTGGTGTCCCCTGGACACGAGGGAACGCTCCCACAGCCCCCGGCCTGTGTGTTTGAAAGCCGCAGGGACTGTCAGCCTCACCTCTGCCCCTGCGAGCCGATGTCCGGTGGCTTCTTTGGGCTTTGACCGGTGCGTGAGGCTCGGACGGGGCCGGAGGAGCAGTCGCTTTCCTCCTCCCGCGAGCACGTCCCTTCCTCGGCCCATCAGCCGCCACCTCCTTGGCCGACTTGGGGGGTTTCGCTGCAGCCCTGGGGCGCCCTTTTGAGGCACGTGTGGTGACCTGGGTGGACATCAGAGCCGGAGCTTGGCAGCAGAAGTGTTTTTTGGACTGCCAGATGATGAGAAACTCCAGGTAGGAGCCCCACTGTGACTTCAGGAGCAGCCTGAGCAAGGCATGGGGAACAGGACAGCCTCTAGACCCAGCTGGAACCACAACCACAAAGCTTCTTACCTTGGGGGTGAGATCCTCGGGATCTGCCTTCAGCTGAGCACGCTTCTTGCGGGGTGTCTGCCCTGTGTGAGAAGTGCCCGGGTTAGGCAGGGTGAGGGGCGATGGGGCAGGGAGTGCTTGCACCTCGAGGGACAGGCTGTGGCATAGTCACCTTTCAGGGTGACCTGTGAGCTGGGCACTGAGGAATTGGCACTGGGGTGGAGGAATGGCTTGAGGGGGCTCCTTCCCACACCCCCAGATTCCCTCCCCTGACAAAACATCGCTCAGCTCAGGCTTGCAGCCCCAGGGGGGAGCACATCCTCCGGCTCCCAGCCTGGCAGGCGAAGGAGGGAGCGTAGGTGCCGGCCTGGAAAAGCACCCTGCAAGGCACCGCGGCTGTGCCCAGGCAGGCGGGTGCTGGTAGGAAGCCTTGGGCACAGCGGGCTCCGTCCCCCAGTGCCACTGGCCGTCCCAGGCCCATCAGCGCTCCAGGGAGAGGGGCTTTGCTCCTGCCTTTGCCCCCGTGCAGCACAGCAAGCACCGGCCTTCCCAGGCTTCAGCCTTCCCGGAGCAAGTGCGGGTCCCGCAGGGAGGAGAGTGGACACTCACCTTTGGGAGCCATGGGCCCAGGCTCTCCCTGCAAGGAAGGTGACAGAGCGTTGGCTGGGGCGCAGCCATTCCGCAGGCAGCGGCAGCGGAATCCGTGCCCCTTCACCCCGCAGCCAAGGCAGCGACAGGGAAATGGCCACGTTTCCCCGGGAAGCCAGGGGAGTCGGGCTTGCTCTGCCTGCCCCTCGGGGACTCTCCTGTCAGCGCCTGCTTCTTCGAGGCCCACTGCAGTGCCTCATCCAGACACGGGGCCCAGGAGGGAGGAACGGGGCTGCCAGACTACCTGAGCCCCCCATTCCTGTAATCAGCCCCTCTGCTCCAGGCTGCCTGCCATCCCTTGGCCAGCTGGCCACAGCACAGAGGGGCCTTGTCACCTCCACGTCCAGTGGTCACAGCAGTCTGTTGGAGAGGGAGACCCCCAGCGACATGGTGATGCTGAAGGGTCTCAGGAAGCAGAAAATGGGCTGGTGTTGCCTTGGAGGTGTGGTTGGGGGCCACCCAGCCCCAGGCAGTGACCCCAGACTCCTACCTGGAACCACACGGTCCTGCCGTTGCGGTCGCGCAGGGAGCTCATGCCAGGCACCAAGTAACACTGCAGCCAGTTCTTGAAAGCGGCGTAATTATCTGAGTGATCTGGGTCAAGGAGCTTTTTCTCTGGGAAGGGAGAGAGGGAAAGGATGGAAGTAGAGAGGAAGCAGTGGCCGTGGTGTCAGGGTGCACCCCCAAGCCTCCTGCTGCTAGGAACGCAAAGCCCGGGCCTCCCCGCCACCCCTGTCCCCCAGCTCCCTGTCCTGCCACCTCACCCGCCGCGATGACCTCCATGGGCACGGTGTGGCACAGCTCCAGGAGATCCGGGTTCTCCCGCATCAGCTTCAGCTTCTTGCTCAGCGTCAGGGAAGGGTTCTGCAGGGGTGGAGAAGGGGAGGGAAGTCACCTGCTGGCCACCCCAGCCTCGTCGAGGTCTCCCCTCCCCAACAGCAGCCAAATTCCCCATCATCTCCTCTTGCCCTCCTGAGGGTGAGCTGCCCCACTCCCCACCACGTACCAGCCCTGAGCTTGCCCTGTTGTAGGCTTCGAACTGTGTGTGCATTAGCACATTCCCCACAGCTACAAAGACATGAAAGAGGGCTGGCCCAGAGGAACATGAGCAGTTTGTAAAAACAGCCCTCAAGTCGCGTGTTTTGTTTTCAGCCTCCTTTAAAATAGCCACCTTCTCTCCCACGAGGCCACAGGACCAGCCATGGGCTCTACTGCAGCCTTCCCCAGAGATTTTAAGCTTGCAAGGTGTTTGCTTCCCTCGCCCCTATACCCGGCACTTCCTGAGGGCAGAAGCTGGGCGCAGCCGCGCGCCGGCACAGCACGCAGGCGTGTGCCCGGGGAGCTGTCACAGCTCGTCAGCCCGGCCACGTGCGAACGAGCATCGCACGCGTGAGGTTACAGAACCGCTGCTCCCCGTTTGCTGCTCCGTTGGAGGGGCAGACGTGCTCAGACACGGGTGTTTATGGCAAAGGACAGTAAAATGCTTGAGGAGACGGATCCCACGCAGCAAGCATTACAGCTGTGAAGGGAACACGCCCGCTGCCAGGTTGGAAAAGACTCAGAGCAGCAAATACCTCGCGACAGCGGTGCGGGCAGAGGCTGCGAGAGCCGTGCAAAGGCCTCGTGACGATGTTCTGCCCCATCAGAGCAAGGAACCAAACATGAACTGAAACTGGCCCCGGACCCTGAGCTGGAACAAGCCTGAAACAGCAGACCTGAACCAGAGTTTTGCACCCAGCTAAGCCCAAAGCAGAGCCAGAGCAAGGCAGCCAGCCAAGCCCAGACTGGGGGCTGGAAGCAAACTGAACCACCTCCACCACTGCTGAGCCCAAACCTGAATCAGAAAGGCTTCTCAGCTCAGTCCAGCTCCCTGCCCAGAAGGCAAGAGGCTCCCGGGACCCCAGGGAGCTGCTGAGGTGTCCTGCAGGGACTCAGAAAAACAAATCCCTGGTGTGGTGTCCATCTGGAAACCCGCCCCTCTCTGTGAAAGCACCAGGTATTTCCCACCTTCTTCCTCCTCGCCTGCTCCTGATCCTTCAGGGCCTCTAGCACGGTCCGAGCCTTTTCGAAAGGAGGGATCTTCAACCTGGGAGAGTGGGATTACACACGGGCCTGAACTCTCAGTTCTGGCACTTGCCTGAGCCCAGGTGAGGAGACCCAGCCGGCTAAGCCGAGGAGCTGTCAAACTCTTGGGGACCAAACCTCCACGGCAGATCAGCGGGCACTCAACCCACCTCACCTGTACAGGATCTCAGCGCGGAGGTAATTCCCAATTCCATTGAAAAACTTCTGGTTTAAGAGGGCCTCGCAGATGGGCTTGTCAAAAGCTTTGTCCTCCAGGTTCTTCAGCACGTTCTCCCTGCAATGGAGCACGGGGCATCAGGAAGGGTCACCTGGGCACAGCCGCTTCACTGCTGTGCAGTAAAAGCAGCCGAAACAAAGCAAGGGGGG